CAGCTCAATAGATCAACAAATTCCAGAATGGTAATGCTTGGTTTCTTTTCACTCATTGTTTGCTTATCTGTGGCTGGTTTGCAACTATGGCATCTGAAGGCATTCTTTGAGAGGAAGAAACTCCTCTAGTTTTGCTTTTGATAGGTTTTTTCTATCTTCTTTTTGCCCCACTTAAATCACATTTTACTTTGTTGTTTTTATGTTACGCATTCCATTTATACCTTCTTCCTTTTTCTTTCTTTTCCAAGGCTAATGCAGGGGACCAGTTTATCAAATGAGGCTTTGTTAACCCAATCAAAGTTAGCCTTTTCTTTTCTCTTCTATTATTTTTTTTTAAATAAAAAAATTAATGCAATTTGAAGGGTAAGATTGTGTGGATGGCTCCAACCTTTTTAACATTGGCCTAATCAAATCCTTAACTACTTATTGTGATTGGATCCCTGATCATTTTATGTGTACCCCTTTGGAGATGATCCCATTACTGACAAGTGGATCTCTTATTTCTTAATATACTTTATTGAATATTTTGATTAGAGCATGTACAATGGAAACAATAAAAAAACTCATTTTAATGTCATATTATCACAATTAATATTATTTTATATAAACTTAAAATTTATAAGTTTAACTTTTAAACATAACATCTCCTCTCTAATTTATATATATAACAAAACTTTCTTAAAAATCATATCAATATTATTTAATTTAATCCACTTCAAATTAAAAAAATTTAAATAAAAAACTTTTTAAAAATAATTGCCAACTACTAGATCATTTCGAGCACTACTAAAAATCTATTTTTCAACAACATGAGAGCACGTTGGTGAAAGTGCTTTCTATGTTGCTGAAAGTACTTCACCAATATGATTCTTGTTGCTGATCTCTTTGTTGAAGCCTTAATAGGTAATACATCAGCAACATGAAGCTTGTTGCTAATTTACGGCACCCCTTTCAACAACATACCCTTTGTTGTTGAAGATAGAGTTTCATTGACGTAGCTCATGTTGCTAAAAAAGTCATGGGTGCCAGTCACTGGAATTTTGCACCCTTTTCAGTAACATATTCCTTATTGCTGAAAGTATGGCTTCACCGACATGGCTTATGTTGCTAAAAATACTCACTGGAGTTGACTACCGAAAATGTGATGCCCTTTCAACAACATATCCCTTGTCACTGATACCTTCCTGCACATTGTAGCACTTTATTTTTAGCAACAAGGGACTTGTTGCTGATAGTCTTATAAATAGCAATAAGGCCATTCCATTTTTAGCAACAAGAAGGAACTTGTTGCTGATGCTCTTATGAATAGTAGTAAGTCACTCTACTTTCAACAACAAGTCCCTTGTTGTTGATAGTCTAATAAATAGTAAACCACTTCACTTTTCAGCAACAAGTTCTTTGTTGTTGATTATCTCCTAGCCTTTCAGAATCATGTTCCTTGTTTCTAATTATCTTGTGCATAATACAAGCATGCACGCCTCCTATCAATTAACAAGAAGTTCCACGTCGGTGATACTAAAAAATCCCATTTTTTAATTGTTTTACCGACAAGTGATTTGTTGCTAAAAAGGGTTTTACTTAAAAATATATATATAAATTCATAAATTTTATTTACCAATATTATGAATACATATTTTCAATTACATTAATATTTAAAAAAATTTAATTTCATTTTTTCAGCATTTTTTTCAGGCTATCATTATAGAATTTAACAATAATGTATTATTTAATTATAAATTTCAATTTTTATAATT